CCTTTTTCAGTGAAATGGATTCATACCGTATTAGGCTGTTCTGTAGCTAGGTTTTATTTACACTTAAAGATGTACTTTGGACTTCTTTCCATAGTAATATAGCCTGATCTAACTCATTCTGCAGAATGCCCACAGTACAGATATGACAAAATTTAAGTCTGCTATTGGTGATATTTTAGATTGTTTTCAGTTTTCACTGGTACAGACAGTGGGGCAGTCTGTAACATCTTTATCTGTGCATTTATCTTTACACATTGTTCAAGTATATCCAAAAGATAAATTCCTAGTAGTACTGTCTGTGGTCAAAGGATGGGGGTATTTAAAATTCTCATTAGGAGCGCCATGTTGCTCTCTTAGATGGTTGTGCTAATTTGCATTTGAAGTTTAAGAAGAGCCAGGAGTAGAGACTGTAAGAGTGTAAATAATTTGACCCACATTCTCAAAGGTGGAAAGCAGTAGAGTCAGCTTTCAAACTCAGATCCACCCACACTGTTTCTTCTAAGCTACAGATGTCTCAGCCGCTGTTTTGGTTTTATTTTAAATAATTTTTTTATTTATTAGAGAGCAAGAACACGAGGCGGGGGCGAGGAGAGGGAGAAGCAGGCTCCCCATGGAGCAGGGAGCCCGATGTGGGCCTGGATCCCAGGACCCCGGGATCGTGACCTGAGCCGAAGGCAGACGCTTAACTGACTGAACCACCCAGGCGCCCCTCAGCTGCTGTTTTTTTAAGGCATAATATTGGCTTTAAAGCTAGGAAGCCTCTTCCTTGTCTTTTTATATTCTTAACACTCAATCGGCCAGTTATGATAATTCTTCCATTATAAATACATAGCCCTTTATGGTTTTGTGTATTGATTTTATATCCTGCAACTTCATTGAACTCACTTATTCTCACAGTTTTGTGGTAGAGTCTTTAGGGTATTCTACATATGATATCATGCCATGTGCAAAGAGTGACAGTTTTCTTCCATTCTGACTTGGAGGCCTTTTCTTTCTTTTTCTTGCCTAATTGCTCCGGCTAGGACTTTTGATATTGTGTTGAATAAAAGTGGCGAAAGTAGACATCCTTCTTTTGTTCCTGATGGTAAAGGAGAAGCTTTCAGATTGTCACCGTTGAGGATGATGTTAGCTGAGGGTTTGTCATATGTGGTCTTTATTACATTGAGATATGTTCTGTCTATACCCACTTTGTTGAGAGTACTTACCACAAATGGATGTTGAATTTTGTCAAAAGCTTTTTCTACAGCTGTTGAGAGGACTGTATGATTCTTCTCCTTTATTCTATTAATGTGGTGTATTATACTGACTGACTTATGAGTGTGGAACCACCCTTGTGTCCCTGGAATAAATCCCACTTGATCACAGTGTATAATCCTTTTAATATATTGTCGAACCCAGTTTGGTAATATTTTCTTGGGGATTTTTGCCTCTCTGTTCATCAGGGATATTGGCCTGTAGTTCTCTTCCTTGCAGTATCCTTGTGTGGTTTTACTATCAGGGCAATGCTGGCCTCGCAAATGCACCTGGAAGCTTTCCTTCCTTTTCTAAGCCCTTAATGGTTTCCAGAACACTTTTACATTCTCATTGTGGTCCTATGAGATGGACATTGAGTATTATCCTGATTAATACGTGTGAAGAACTGAGGCTCAATAAAAAAAGAAATTAAATTTTAAAATGTAATCAGAAGATGGTCCTTGACCAAAGACCTTATGGCCCCCAAACTGCCGAAGCACTATATAAAAACACTAGTAGAAGAGGTAAAATAAGGGGTGTGGGAGTAGTGGCTTTGAATGTGTTGATATTGGCGCATTCTGTTCACAAACAACAGGAAAATGCACTCAGATTTCTGGCCGTGGGGCCCTGTCACACTTCAGGCCAACAGTAGCTCAGGAACAGCTTTCTTTTGGCTGCCTCTGTGTGTGACGGGTGGGGAAATGGGTGACTTAACAGTTCGGTGCATTTGATCCAGAACTTTCTTTAAACTTCACTGCAGACATAATCACGTGGCATTACATCTGTCATGATAGTTCCTTTTTATTATGTTGATTCTTCCTCTGTCTCATCTGCTTTCCCCTTAGCTCTCTCTGTCTTAGGCTCAGACCAGATTTTTTTCTAAAGAAATAAGATCTTTCTCTGTAAGGCTGTAGGCTCCATTTTGACTTCAGATCGGAAAGTTTGCTGTTTTCCTGGCCAAATACATCTACTGAACTTAATCCACAGACATTTCTTAGAATAATTTTTTTCTTTTTTTGCTTTTAATTATTTTTTGCTTATAATTCACAACTTTAGTCAATTTGATTGTTCCTATTTTATGATTAAAGAACCTGAATCATAAGAAGCTCATGTGACTTACTTCAAGTACAAGCCAGAGTTCAAATGACTGTTTACTCTGCTAGTTCCTACTGCATTGAAAGAAGTCTCCAATTCGAGAGACAGGTTATGTTCCAAAAATCCATTTGTAAGTCATGATTTGGCACTTGGACTGCATTTTACCAACGGTGGGGGGAAATGTTATAACCCGTGATTAGGCCCCTTGGCCGGCCTACAGAAGTCTGTTTAGCTCTTATTGTAACCACCTAATGATGCATTTGCCGTAAAAGTAAGAGAATGATCGTGGGATTCTGGTTACGAAGAAAACTCTTTCCCCGGAGAAGCATCCAGTCGGGAGATGGGGACACAGAGGGAACTGGAGAGTGTACAGGGGCATCACGGCGCTGCGAAGGCTGCTAGAGGCTGGGACACTGTCTAAAGCCCAGGTTTTTGTTAAAACTTTGAGGATTACATGGTTGTTAGACACTTGGCACCGGCATAACTTCCAGGACAGCCGTGATTAGCATCGACGGGACTGATGGACAACACAGATTATGTGAGATGATATTAACGAACCTGATGGTAAAAACCAACCAGCAAATCAGAGAAAACATCCCCCCTTTGGTCCTCCGGGTGGCAGGGTCAGCGGAGCTGCGGACCCCACGAGCTAGGGCAGCCGGGCTGAGTTCTGGAGAGAAGGCAAGGGTCCCAGGTCGGGGGGAGAGGAGCCCGTGATGTCTCTGTGTGGAGTGTTTGTCCACGAGTGTCTGGTTCTGGGAAGTGACCACATTTATGTCCTGTGGCTAGTGCTTTTTGCACGTTCTAGGCTGCCTTGCACTTAAGCGTACAAACAAGCATCTTAAATTTCACTTGGCTTTGGAAAAAGTCTAGTGCCTCTTTAGATGCCCCCTGATTCATGTCTTAATTGTTCTCAGACATTTGCACGCAGCTTTTTTTGTTGTTAGCAAAAGGGTGGATACATTCTTGGTAAGAGGAAGCTGCTGTGACAGATCCTCCCTGAGGCGGCCTGGGGGTGGGGTGAGCTCCCGCAGCGCTGAGACAGCAAGGGGAGGCCCTGCCCTCCCCCTGGGTGGGTGACAGCGGGCCTGCCACCAGCACCCTGTGCCGGGTGCCTATCCCAGAGAGGGAAACAGCCTTTACTACATATTCAGGACCCCTCCCCGTTGTCCCTGCAAAGGAGGTTGGGACCTGTGACCACTTTCAGAAGGGATAAGATAGGAGGAGAGAAGTCACCATCCACCCGGTTTTATGTATATTCTGATGTTTATAGATTCTTTGTCTTTCCACTAAAATAATTTACAAAGAAATTGTTTGACGTCCATGTAATTCTTCCGTCTCTTATGATGTTGAATTTGTACGTGTGTTTGAGTAGTCTTTTTCTGTCCAAAAGGTAAATACAGTAACGATGCTGAATTTGTGCCCAGCGTCTTCTGGGCACCAGGATCAGATTGGAACTGCGCATCGCTGTGGTGCGCTCTGCTCAGAAATGCCCTTGCCATGGGGCAGGTGTTGGGTGCGAATGCACACGGGACCTTCCTGGTGGGGGCCCAGGTTTGCCAGATTGGATGACCATATGCTCAGACTGAGCCAAGGTGATTTCTTCTGGTGCCTGCGTGACCGCAGGAGGTGGGGAGAGACTGCTCTGGAGGCTGTTCTGTCTGCTTGAGGAGTGCCCTGCCTGAAGGGCTAGTGAGCCGCATGGGCTCTTGCTTTTTTCTTGTTGACTTTCACGTGCGGGTTAAACAGACCGCCGGCAGTGGGTGACCCGTTGTTCTTACTGCAAATTCCCAGATTTTGTGCATGTGGTCAGAGGTGAGGTGGGTGAGCAGGGAGGGAGGAAGTTGTGTGTTTTAGCTTTTGTTTGTTGACGGGACAGAAACATGCTACTGGTAATTTGTTAATTTTCCTTTACATTGAAAGCCTGGACCTTCTGGTAAAAGGAAGAAAAGTTAAAAACAAAAATCTCAAGCAAATCCTGCTCATACTATTTTCTCATGTGCAAGCAATGCTACATAACATAGAAGACAAAGCAATAAGTTCTTGGCAACTTAACATGGCTTGTTCATTTTTTAAGCATTATAGTCATCAGTTGAGGAGGAAAAACTCTGGTGTCTGATATCTTGGTTGCAACAATTCTTGGCTTAGCTGATTATTTTTTATTTTCTTTTGTTTCTTCTTCTTCTAGGACCTGAGAGACTTAGGGGAAAAATCATATTTTCTTGAGATCTTTCTAAGACACAAGATGTTCTTAAGATTATTCAGATTATCTTAACCTTCAGAACTCACTGCCCTCATGGTGGCCCGTCATTTTGTCATTACTCCTGTGTCCTAACACCCCACGCCTGGCTGAGGAGTTGAAGGGCGATGTTGGTGCCCTCTCTCTCCTCATCCTCTCCTAAAATGCGCCAAGTCTTACCCCATACTTCACACCGAGGACAAGCACGGGGAGAGAAGGGTTAAAAGCAGAGGTGGGCAGGGACAGGCGGGTGCACAGAGCAGCTGTGGACCCGAGCGCCGCGGGCCGCCGGGCCCCTTATAGAGGCTGCTGCGTTCCCCCCACGCTCTTGACTCCTTCCAGTAGCTTTCCTGTCTTGTCTGCATCTCTGCCTGCCTGCCTGGCACTGGCTGGTTTTATATCATTTTCTCTCTTAGGACCAAGAAATTGGAACATGGCTGTGAGCAACGGGAACAGTGATTTTGTGGTTCTGAGCAACGGCAGCAGCGCAACCAGTGCCCCCAAGCCTGGCGCCCTCACGGCCTGTGATGGGGACCTTGCCTCCCAGCAGCTCACACCCAGAGAGGCCCCCAAAACAAAAGTGAGTCTGAATGGATGCCTGCAGGTCAATGGCACCGTGAAGTCCTCCTTTCTGCCCGTGGACAGCCACCAAAGAGTGCCCGCGATGTTGTCCCCATGCTGCCACCTGTGCCCGTTCCATCAGCCCCTGGCCGGCCAGAGTAGTCACGCAGAGGGCTGCCCTGAGGTTGGCCCGGCCGTGCCTTCTGCTCTGGCCTCCTGCTGCACGCAGCCACGCTCCGAGTATTCTGCACCTCTGTGTCCCAGCCACTCGCCCGTCTACCAGACTGCGTGCTGCCTGCAGCCCTCTCCGTCCTTCTGCCTGCACCACGCGTGGCCCGGCCGTTTCCCACACCAGCCCGTGCAGCAGCATGCGGCCGGCTTCAGGTGAGTGTGCACAGGTTCTGCTCGCCTTCGCATCCAACCAAGCCCACATGAGTGCCCCCGCTTGTGTTGATTTCCCCAAAAGGAGGAGGATACATGTGTCAGAGAAGGAAAACCAGAATGCACATGAAATAATGTGTCCCTGTCTCATCCGTTGAGCTCTTCGTCAGACACTCGCGCACTTTCTGCCTGCCTACCAGTTGGTTCGGTGTCCTGGTGGCCTTGACTTACAAAGTTCCGTAAAACTTTCTGTCAGCAGTCGCTGTTACTACTTGTGGGGGATACATCTGTGACGAGGCTGCCTGAACAGGAGTCTTGATGGTCGTCAACCTTTATGACAATGAAGCAGTTGCTTCCTCATGCTTCCGAGCGGCCGCGTCCACCAGCTCTGTTCGTGTGGTTTGGGTGACCATCAGTATGTGGAGACCAGACCTTTCCTCGAGGGGGGAGCCTGTCGATCTGTAGCGTAGATCTTTGAACACTATGTTTTGTGAAACGTTTTTGGGTCTGTGTCATGGCCGGCTCCCGCCCCGTCCCAGCTTTCTGCTCTGTGCCTCTTCTGCGGTCTCCTCCGCACGCACTGCAGGTGAGTCATGGCGGCGTATTTTATGAAATACTGAGCGCTTTGGAGAGACCAAGTGTTAGTTCACGTTCGTAGGTGATGAGCTTTTGGTGAGCTGGGAGAGCACTCTCCTTTTCTGATGAGGCTAGAGTGTACACACAGGGAGATGCGCCAGTCTGAAGCGCTCAGCTTGATCGGCGCTGACCTTCGTGGTCCACACCTCCGCCCACTTGGAACGTTTCTTTCTGGGGTGATGGAGAACGTCCCCTCCGGCTGCCTCCTCCTCGTTCCTGCTCTCTTCACCTGCCCTGGTCGCTGCTCTGAGCTCTGTTACCGCGCGCTGGTTGTGCCTGCTCTGAGATCTCGTGCGCCCATTCGTACGTCCTACGGCACGTACTCTCCGGTGTCCCGCAGTTTCGACTCAGCATACTGTTGGAAGACTCATCTAACTGCCGTGTGTCGTAGTTTTCCACTGTGTGCCTGGGACAGATTCACTGTCACCTGCAGAGTCAGTCAGACCTCCAGTTGTGAAGTACGTCGTGGGGACGTCACGTACATAGGCTGTGCTGACCGTAGCTAAGAACACTGGGCTGTGCATTTGGAAGTTGCTAATAGAGGAGATCTTAAAAGTTCTCATGGCAAGAAAAAGCTTTTGTAACTGTGGGTGGTGACAGATTTATTTTGATAATTTCACAATATATTACAAATATCAAATTATGTTGAAACTCATATAATGCTGTATGTCAGTTACAGCTCAGTAAAAAAAAGGAGTCAGATCCAGAAGGGGGTTAAGTGATGGATCCTTTTCACCTTTATCAGGTTTGGTTGCTGTTGACATTATTTGGTTTCACTGTTTTAAAAAGAGGGCAGAGAGAGAGATGGGGAAAGACAGTGGGCCTCGGGGACATTCCTCTGCAGCGTGTTTCTGCAGTTTCTAAATACGTTTTCCACGTCAGGGGCGAGAGTCTTTTAGTCACAGAGCTATGGGAAGGACTGGCCAAGGCCATTTTCAGAAGGCTTATCCTGATAGCATTGTGCTGCGTGACCACTTTGGATTAAACCGAGGAAGTAGTTGACTTTGAAATTATGTGGTCATCGATATTGATGCTTTAGAATCATCAGTTATATGGTTGCAGGGTGTGAGGGGAGACAGATAGTTGTACATTTTGAGGCTGATCCCTCCTTTAAAAAACTTGAGAAAATATTAAAGCTATGGGCAGGGAACCAATTCTTTTAATACAGCAGGCCTGTCAGTATTTTCAGGACTTTAGCTTAGCGTTTCTGAAAAACCTATTCTTAAAGGGATGAGAGTGCTATGTACGTACAACTTTGAATAGGATGGCATTGGGGTGGCTCAGTCAGTTAAGTAGCCAACTCTTGGTTTCAGCTCAGATCATGATGTTGTGAGAGGTCGTGACACTGAGTCCCGTGTCAGGCTCCGTGCTGCGTATGGAGCCTGTTTAAGATGCTCTCCTTCTCTCTCTGCCCTTCCCCCAGCTCACTCGCACTCTCTCTCTCGCAAATAAGTAAATAAATAAATGAAATCTTTAATAAAAAATAAAATAAATAGAATGGCATTAAAAAAACAGATAAAAATGCCATATTTGTCCATCAAGAAAAGTTGTAGAAAAAAGTGGAATAGAAGTTTTTCATAAGAATTTTTCTCAAGAATTTGAGCCTTTTGATCAACTGTATAACATAGAACCTTTTACAGATGCTTGTAAAGGCACGTCTGTTCGCAGTTGGGTCTGCCACATACTTCACTGTAAAATGTGTCCTGCCAAAGCCACTTCCTTATTTTATACATTTACTTATTTATATGATCAACAGTACTTACTGTTGTGATGCGGGGCATCACAGATGTAATTCTAGTAGGAAGGGAGACAGAAGAGCCAGCTGCAGCTGCGAAATCATGAGATGTGTTGCTGAGAAGGAGCTCGTGGGCTGTGGGCGAGTAGAAGTCACCAGTGGGGACGGGAAGGCTTTGCGCAAAGACGTGTCTCTGCACCTGCGACACAGATGGGCCCACCTGACTGGCGTTTGGGTTTGTTTTTTAGTTTTGTTTATAAAACACTTAAGCCATAGAGAATGTTTTAAAGGGTCAGTCAAGCGGAAACTGTGATTTTATCCTGGCCCATTTACGCTGCTGTCTTTCCTCACCTTCTATAAAGTGATAGGTTCTGTCTTACCCCTTCTTGGCCCTTTAGGCTCCAGCACCTCTCTCAAAAAGATTCATTAGATCAGTCACCTGTGTGTGCTTTTTTGCTTTGTAACATTATCTGTTAATCTTTTGGTGGATAAAATTGAGATCAGTGCAAGAATCATAGTAATGTCCTGTTTTAATTCCGTTTATCACCAAATATGAGGTACTTTATGTAAATCTCATTTTAAAGCTTCCAGTTGTTCATTTCTAGATTTCCGTCTTCATACCGGCAGTCTGGCCATTAATTACGGGGTCTAATTGAGAACACTGAGGAATTCAAAAAGGCAAGAAGTCATGTCTCCCTACTAAGAGACAAGGCTACACCCCACTGGCCATCTGAATCATCTGGGCAGTTAAACATTAAATAAGTATGATAATAATGATGTTTCCTTTGCAGTAGAAAAAAATAACTCTAGGCAATCAGAGGAGGGAAGGAACCCTGGGGGTTGATGAGGTGAGAGGCCCTCTGACCAAGGAGGGCTTGCGGGGAGGGGTGGGTAGGGGTAAGGGAGCAGGGGTGGAGAGTGGAAGGAGGGCGGAGGGAGGGGGGCAGAGCATGGAAGGGGTAGGGGAGCCCTGGCGGGGCATGGAAGGGGGAAGGGTGGCGGTGGAGCATGGAAGGGGAGGGGGGGGGGGGAGAGGGTGGAGCATGGGAGGGGAGCGGGGGCCGAGCGTGGGTGGCTGGGAAAGGGTGAAGGAAGTGCATGCAGACTGACAGCATGTGTAAGGATGAGTAGAGTGAACAGGATGGCGGGAGTGGAGCGCGCGCGCGCGCGTGTGGCGGCATGAGAGCGGCCCTGCCGGAGCATCCTGCATCTAGATCTGGAAAGTGCCCCCTGGAGCCTCTCACACTCCGTGGGGCTGGTTTGGGGTGCTCTTACTGCCATCTGAAGATGGAAAGGTAATGGTGTTATGACACAACTAGAAAGAGTTCTGCATCCAGAAATTAGCAGACAGATGCCTAATCCAAGCCCTGCAAAGAGCTGTTCTCCATGGCGGCAGAGGACTCCATGAATGATGCTTGGCAAGTCCCATACTCACATGGTTGGGAACCTGTGATGGTTCTGGGTGCCTGCCAAACACAGGTTTACTTCCCTGAAGGTGGTTTCACGGACAGATGGTCACTCTGAGTGCCCCCCGTGGCCGGAGGCTTGAGAGCTGTGCATTTGAGCAGGCTTGGCACCAAGGAGCCCGTGAAAGGGGCTGACAGTCAAGCACACCCTCGTCCCTGCCCCGAACATTGTGCCCTATGCCGTTTGTAGCCTGTGTCACCTTCTCCTGCGTCCTTCTGACTCTTCCAACATGTGGCTCACTTGCTCAGAGGTGTTGTTTGCTCTCCCCTAGGACGCTACTTGCTTTCGACTCTTTTTCTTAAAAAAGTAAGAATTGAGAACTCTTGTGTTATGTTACGAGAGAGAATCTACCTCCTGAAATCTGGTTTCTTTGTATACGGTATATCCTAACACCCAGGGGCCAGATGACAGCTCTGAGCATGTTTCCAAACTGTCTTGCTGTGATGCATGTGCTCTGCAGTGATCCACACTTTTCCCCTTTCCTGAGCCCTGGCGATGGAGTTATTTAGCTGGGAAATTTGAAACAGAAATCACGTTGAACACGTCATTAGCATTGTGGCATGAGCCTGGCATTGACGCAGATCCCAGTGTCTGATTTCCCCGGTCACTAGACTCAAACCAAATGGCTTTTCTAAGATGCTGGAACGATGAGCGGACAAATTCAAAGTTAGTTATTCACTTATTCATCAAGTATTCAATGAGTACTTGCGTACATGGTGTCAGGTGCTGGAAACAGAGGTAAAAACTGCATGGTCCTTACCTTCAGAGGTGCAGAGGTGATATGGACAGGCGAGAGCTGGGTCTCGGCCTGGGCAGACTCTAGGTAGGTCGTCCACTGTGTTGTCTGAGGCACAGAAGTTAAACATTGGTGCTCTTCGTCCATGTATTAGTTCCGAAAGACAACCAGATCATAGTTGTATAAGTTCTTCCCTCCTGTTTTCCTCTTTTACAACGGAAGATTACTAAAAGCGACATAATCCTAAGCCTTTACTTACTGATACAGACTGTAGGACTGCTGAGCAGGCGTGTTGCAGGAAAGGATGGTCATACTGGGTTCTTTAGACGGGCGCTGTTCACAGGGCCCAGTAAACTGCAGAATTCAGTTCTAAGCCCTACTGGGCACTGTTCCCGTGGTCCGGAGTCCCCTGTGCCAGGGGCTCCCATA